ACCTTCAGCCCGTGTTTTGCACAGACAAATTTTCTGAGTCCAAATTCTGCACTCTGCCCACTACACCTCGGATTGGACCGGAGTGGCCTCTGTGATTCCTTCAAGTGCCAAGATGCTCAAGTTTTTTTAATTTGGAAATTTATGAAAGTGGTGAGAGTGCTGAACTTTCACCTGTGCTCTTAGAGATGCTTCTCAAGTTGTGAATGGTATTTTGTGAAACGCGAGACCTTCCTACTCGTGTTTCTCTGTCCAGGCCGCTCTGATTGTTGCATTCCAAATTTCAGCAACTGGCATCCTTCACCCAAGGGGTCTGTGTTAGGGTATGGTGAAGGTCATATTTTTCTATTATTTCCTGGTGCTAATTCACAGAAGTTAAAACAATAGAATTCCAAGGATGGGGGGGTGCAGGGGGTAATTCCCCCTTCATTACAACTGCTTTTGAGTATTTTATTCCTGGGAAAACACAGTCCTGTGGTAGATGTCACACATACAGAAGGATTTCCTTCACTCACCGTTTCCAGTGTTGAGAATGTGTTGGGAATCTATGCTCAGTTGCCTAAGAGTAGTGGGCAAGCTCTGGCCTCCATGCGTACTAAGTTAGCATGGGCTGGTCTCGCTATATCTGTTTCCTTTCCCCCTGGTGGTCTGGGCTTTCTGCTTTTTCGTGTGCTGTGGACCATGCTGACAGAGAGCTAGCTACAAGAGAGGCTCAGAGACTTAGCATGTGAGTTGGTCCTTATTTCCTAGCCCAAATCTCTTTAGGCTTCCGTACTCTTCTTCCAGAGTCCTTCCTATTACCCCCCCCTCTCTTTTTCCCTTATTTCTCTCTCTTCCTCCCCCCACACTGTGTGTCTTTCTCTCCTCCCCTCCCTCCCTCCCATCTTCTCTACCTCCCTTTTTTGTACATTAAAATGATTTTTTAAATGGTGATGAAATACACATAACATAAAATGTACCATCTTAACCATTTTTTAAGTGTGCAGTTCAGTAGTGTTAAGCACATTTACATTGTTGTGGAACCCATCTCCAGAACTCTTTTCATTTTGCAAAACTGAAACTCTGTCCCCATTAAATGACCACTTCCCGCTCCCCATTTCTCCTAGCCCCTGGCAACCACTTTCTTTCTCTACAAATGTGACTACTCTAGTGCCTGTTATAAGTGGAATCAGACAGTGTTGGTCCTCTTTGTTCTGGCTTGTTTCTCTGACTTCTCTGTGGCTTATTTCTCTTAGCTTATTTCTCAAGCTTCGTTCATGTGATAGTGTCCTCTTCTCTCTTTTAAATATAGCGGTTCACATTTGGCAGCTGGGTTCTTAGAAAACAAGTGTTTTTTTAAATTTGCTTCTCATTACACCCACAGAAGGTCCAGGCTGGTGAATACAGGTGTGGGTCTTGCCAAAACCTCCCAGGGTCTCGGATTACATCCCAGCTGGTTCTCACAATGATTAAAGCTCATGGGTGTACAGAAAACACATGACAGATCACACTATTATACCAAGAGCCACCTTAGGGCTGTAAGAACTTTTGACTCTCGGTGTCCCCGCAAGAGGTGGAGGTAATGCAGCTGAGAGTGTCATGCCCAGGGGATGACTGAGTCTCTGGCGGACGCCCATGTGCATGGTTCAGGATGGTATCGCTCATCGTGGGATTTGCTGGCTCAGCACTGGTCTTAACGATTAGCTGGATCAATGTTCTCAAATGCCAGTTCACAAACCACCTTTCTGGCGGCAAGGCTCTCTTAACCTGTTGGTCTGCTTCCTTTGTCACAAAGTTGGTTTGGCTCATACTGCTGAAGGTCATGGGATTTTGTTAGTGCATTATTGAAATGAGACATTTGTGGCACCAGTGTTGTATTGTTTCTGCTCATAGGAGCCCGCGTGGCTTTCACATATGGTTAGTCTGATTGCTTTTTCTAGCTTGGGACTTTGCCTTGGAGAGATTCCTAACAAAATACCATCCACAGCCTTCTTTCATAGGGAAAGATGGATAAGAGTTTAGTGCTGGAACACTGGAAGAGGAAAGCCAGAGATTAGAGATGAAATTGGGGCTGTTGATGTGTGTCTCTGTGGTACAGTGGGCTGGTGCCAGATGCCCTGGTCTGGTCTTGAGCTGATCACGAACTAGCCCTGTGATGCCTTGGACAAGTCCCCTCACGTCTCAGGACCTCTGTATCCTCATCTGTAGAATGGGAAGGGTGATTTCTGCCCTGTCCAACCAACAGAATTGGAGAATCCCATAGAAAAGTGTTAATTACTGTACTCAGTAAATGGTAACTTGCTATCCGAGTGTGGAGCAATGTAAGCACCATTGAAAGGTGATTAAAATTCACTCAGGGTTGAAGGGGGTCTTAGTGGCCATGTTTCACGGCAGTGACCATTCACAAGTCACTGAGGTTTACATGACCCTCCACTCCTCCTGACTCACCACGTCAGTGGGTGGGTGGCAGTTCCTCCAAAGACTTCAACCACTACTTTCTTCTCTGAATTACTGTGATTAATACACATTTTTAAGTGATTTCATATATGTGTATTTTTAGGTAACTTTGAACTTTAAAGACTAATCAGCCAGGGATGTCTCCAGATGGAGGAAAAAAAGTCAAGTTTGCCTCCTCCTCAACCTGCAGCCCCTGGAGCCATGGAATTAGCCTTTTTATAGGCATTTCTTGTCTCTTGAGATGATAGAACCATAGGAGTTTGGAGCTAGGAAAGTGGGACAGTAAGTTCTTGGAGGTCATAAAATAGGGCTTTTTAAACCCCCCCCCCCGTCTTTCTCAATGCCAGCTACGGTTCTCAATAGGGGCTTAATAAATTCTTGAATCTTCTAGCAGGAGATGTCATTTTGAGGGACCATCCAAAAGAAGAGTGTGGAATATGGGGCTGAGCTCAAAAGCTTTGCAGTTAGGATGCAGGAACTGGCTTATCCTGAGCTTGAAAGAGATCACATGTGAGTTCATCAGTTATGGTGGGGGGCTGGGCAAGAGAAGGGGGCAGCCCAAATCTCCCTCCACTGCTAGAGTGCAGTTTAGATGGACAGCACAGCAGAAAGACTGAAGAGTAGTGGTCGGTGACTTCAGTGTTTTCAAAGGATGCTGCAGAAGTCTTCAGGTAGATTTCTATTGCACAGAGAATGTTCCTTATCTAAACCGCTGGATTTATCTAACCCCAGTTCCCCACATTTTTTTCATCCCTGGAGTCTACTCAGTTTTCAGCCAAATCAAGGTCAGGATAAAGAGGAGATTTGGAAGGAAGTAAGCTGGATATTCAGGCTCCTGCAGTAATTCTCAATTATTGAATTCTCCAGAAGCACCAACCCCTCTATAATGAAGTCCTCAGTTTTAAAATATCTTTATAAATCAGGTGATTCAGTATTGGCAACAGCCAGCTTGCTGTTTCTTGCTTTGTTATAAAAATTAGATGGTAAAATCCTGAGATCTTGCTGGGGTTGTTAAAAGATAATCTTAAGCATTTTAATGCACATTACTCTTCATACAACTTTGAGCCTTAAAAGCCCCCACACAGACTAGAATAGGAATCAGATGTAGGAGAAATCAGCTTGCTTCCATCGTCCTGCAGCCCTGAGACCCCAATCAGACCTGCTGTTGTCTTGTGTGATGCCTGGCCACTCCAAGGCCACAACTGCCAGGGCTGAGAATCAGAGCTACAGGAAAAACTATAGCTGAGATGCACGATTCTCATTTAAGTTTAATCTAGTGGACCCAAAACAAAAGAAAAAGGTTCATTAACATCCAAGCTCATAGTATGTGTTTTCTAGCACAGTTGACATTATTTTGATGTTTAATAGTATTTTTTTTATGCTGCAGGTCTTTTCTTCATCCCTCTCTACCCCTTTCAATCATGTAATGTGTTCCTGTACCTGCTATACCATTTGTACTTCTGGTAATGAAATTCCGGTCAGCAGGATGTATTGTTGGCGTTTCTTCTCCTTGCTAACAGTATTGCTATCCTGCATAACTAGAGACCCTGCTTGTCTAGTAAACCATTCATTGTATAAGCCCTTCAGATTTCTGTGTGTGTGTGTGTGTGTGTGTGTGTGTATGTGTCTACCTGCCAAACTTAGAAATGTATTACTCAGACCAATTTTTTTTTTTCATACTGAAAGTGATTGATATTGCATTAACCAATGTCATCTGCTATGTACTATTTTGATGAAAGTAATTTATATTGCCTGTTGGGTTGGATGAAGTCACATTTTTGACTAAGTGCTTCGTAACATCAAAACCAACCCTTGATTTAGAATAACCTACTTTCCACTCTAAGGATATTTTACTAAGACTGGCTTGGTTAGAAAGTTTTCCTTTGGATGTCTTAAAACTGTGAAAATGCTTGTCTAGAAATGCAGTAAGTGTCTTTGTGATATATTGATCTTTTTTATTTTCTTGCTTCTCCTGTTACCAGACTGTGGGTGGTAACATATCTGCAAAATGTTTTATAGGGTATGCAGTGCAACATTTTAAGCCAAGAAATTGAAAACAGGATACAAAAATAGAAAGGGAGGGAGTCGATCAAGGTCATATCTGTATATTAAGGATTTAGTGGTAGGAATGCCGAGAAAGACAAGTTTGCATTTGTAACAGGCGGGTGGCACCAGCAAGTGTTGGAAAACCTGCTTGGTCTCAGAAGACATGAATAGGAGTTCTTTGCCCCATAAATTCATGAAATTATGAACAGGTTAGCATAACTTAATACTCTTAAATTATAAGCTACACCGTTGAATTGTTGAATCGTATGAATTTGTCATTTTGTTTATCTGCAGGTGATTTCACTGCCCAGGTGTGAGCAGGGCAAGACAGTAACCAGAATGCTCACACAGACAGATTCTGCACTGTGAAATCCGAGGCCATTTGTAATAAAACAACCCTAACGGTTTTGAAAGACGCATAGCTGCAGAAATACTCTGAGGCCATTTTGAGCAGTGTTTGGAGAAGGGGCCGCAGGTGCATGCGTGTACGTGCGCTAATGCTTGTTTCTTTTCACTTTCAGCACATCAGGTCCACCCATCTGGCCGGGCAGTACCTTCTTCAAGAGAAACGGAGCCCTTCTCCAAGGTAGGTCTCTAGGAGCACCTCTTTCCCTCTCTCCACCCCCCTTTCACCACCCCTTTGTGCTTGGTGTCACGCAGGAGCGTCTGTCCTGTGTAGGAGTGGCCACTCTCTGGAGAAGTGTGACTGTTGTGGGCTTGGTCTGTTTGTCCACTTCTCTTTCTTTCTTCCTACTCAAGTCTCTTGGTTGCTGTGCAGTGTGAGTCTGAAACCAGGCCTCTGCGGACTGCTTCTTTGGCCCGTCATCACTGTTCATATTCCAGAAGTGTTTGGCTTGCTTTGGTGAAACTGGAATTACGTGGCAATTAGGGTGCAACAGCAGCATAAACTGGGCTGATAAAAACAAACCCCTTCGTGTATTTCAAATGCTTGGGCTGACAAGGGATGGATGGGTGTTCTGGCACTTTTGTCATCGTGGAGGTGGATGCATTCCTTGCTCTCCCCTGACTGTGCCTGAAAGGTTGGCTGGGAGTACAGTCACCCCTCACTTGCCCCTCCAAGCGTCATTTGTGGGGGGACACCCTTCCTGTTGTCCAGCCCATCCTCAGCTGCCTGGTGCTGGTTCCTACCCAATGTGCTCAAGGAATTCAAACTGCCTTTCATCTCTGCTTTTGCTATTAAGTTTCTTTGGAAATAGCCAAAGTTAAAGAAGAATAAACAGTTAAAAATAGCAAAATGATGCATGCTAGATAACTTTTAGATATTACCCTTGGGTGATGGCTGTTTTGGATATCCACTCTGTAGATGAACCAGAATTGACTGGTTCCCAAGGGTCTCCCGGTTTTCTGTCCCCTTTACCCTCTGTCGACTGTCTAGGAGGCAGAGTGACACAGCTGGCCAAAGGCGGATGGACTTGGTGTACCAAGAGCTTTAGAACTGCACTGGGCTCATGGTGAGGGGTTTTAGTGCCTTTTGGTTAGTTCAGAGCTGTTTAGCGTCTTTCTCTTAAAAAATATATGCTGGGGGCCAACCATGTGTGTGATGAGGTAGAATATAAATCTCGTTAAGAAAAGAGACATTTATCTTCAGGTTTCGAGAGTAGCTCAAACAATTGTGAGAGATGTGATCATGTTTTCTTTGTTTTGTAGGCCACACAATTTCATGGTCTTTTAAAATTGTCTTTTTAATAGCCTGTGAAGTTGGGAGCTGAAGAATTTCTTTGCATTTTGGCTTGGTACAGGTGAAATGCAGGCACTCGAGTTTGGATAATCCTAATTTTAATAACCATCATAGATATCCTAAATATTTAAGAAAATAAAAGGAACTCCCTCCCCTCTCAAAAATTAATACATAATTTTAAAGAATCTATTCTCCCCTCAGATAATATAAGTGGAAACCGATTATCATCAGCCTTTGGGAGTTTTTTTTCAAGTGAATTTCAAAGTTATGCACATCTTCATTTTTCCTCCAGAACTATAGCAATGATATGAATATAATTCATGTTTGAATTATTTTGAGAAAAGGGATTTTGTTTTCTTAGAGCCTTTTTTTAATAGGATTTTTATTCATTCAGTTCCACATTAGGTAAGATTTGCTCTAAGCATATTAGTTTTTTTGTTTGTTTCTGAGGTAAAAACATGAAGGAAATATCAATACAGTCTCTGAAGTTGAGTGATTACAGTATGAGATTCTATCTCATGGGTATAGATTTCTTTTCTCTTCCTGATAGGGTTAAAAATTCCTCTGATTGCTCTAGGCCCTGGGAATTAAACTAGTACAGATTTCAGATGCTCATTGAATCCATATCTAATTCAGTACAGCTTATTTTTTTAATATATATACATTTGAAAATCAGAAGAATCTTGCTGACAGTTTGGGAGTGTGGGCAGGGATTTGTTAATATTAATTTTTTGTGTGCTGTTTCTTCCTCTGTGTCTGTATAGCGTCGTCGAGAACTTTATTAGTGTGATAAGATTTTTCAAACTACATAGATGTTCTTCCTAATTACTATTTTTGTGTTCCTTTGGTGGGTAGTACTGGGCCATCAAGAAGTTGTAATGTTCACAGGCAAAAGTTGTATAAAGATAGGAGTATATAGAGAAGGGAACTGTCCAGCCATGCCCATGGAATGTTTAACTTAGAATCAAGCAGAAGAAAACATACCTAATTTATGCTCACTTTCTCATCTTTATACTTTACATTTTCAAAAATATGCACACATCCCTTCTTTTTTCCTACAGCAAGTAAAAGGACATTTTTCTAGGTAATCAGACTAGGAAAGGACTCTATTAATAGATTCCAGCCACAGGGATTGGGGTTGAGGGTAAGCAGAACCAGGATGCCTCTCCCTAAAGAACCCAGTGCCCAGGACTGAGGGAGAAGGTGCAATTTGGTCATGTGGGGTGATGCAGGAGCCTCTTTAAGATGCTGGGGGCCCGGGGACCAGCATGTGGAAGCCGGACTAACTGTGGGCCTCGAGTTCTGGCTGACGAGGACAGGCTGAACCAGGCTGCATAGAGGTGGGAGAGAACCTGCTGTATGGAGTGGCCCCCGGGCTTGAGACTGTAAGAGTGCAGGATAGGAAGATAAGCAGATGGGTCCTGGTGTGTAGAGGAGGGAGACTGATTTTTGTCAGGGAGGTGGGAGCTGAGGAGTTGTGACTTCTTGAGAGAATTGAGCCTTGAGAAAGGCCTTGAGAAACAGGTAGATGTGGGTACGTGGAAGTAGGAAAAAAATGGCCTTGCAAGAAGGGGCAAGAGGACACAGCATCGCAGAGAGCGTAGCAGTCGGACTTTGTGCAGCTGGTGTGGAACATGAGTGCTTCACGACACCTTGGGATTGTGACATCATGTGCCCCAAGGTATGTTCAAGAAGAATGTTGTAGCGTAGGAAGAGGAAATAGTGGAAGTGAAAACCCGAAATGAAGTTGAAACCAAAATGACATAATGGGGCAACTGGTTGATGTGGTTGGTTTATAAGCTGCTGAGCAGAAACATAGTACATTTATTTTTTCCAGCACAAAACCGATTGCCAGAATTAACTGGAAGCACGCGAGGTCCTCTGTGGACGTCAAGTGTGGCGCCTGTGTTTTGGTTCAGAATCACTGGCAGGAGGGGCTGCTGAGTCACCTCTCAGTTTTGAGGATAATGGGGAAGATTTGGTTTGGATTACACCAGGCCTGGGTACTTAACATAATTAGTCATTTCATCAATTCACAGTATTTAGTTTAAATGCCATTTAGGCTGCTAGAGACACTTTTGGTATTTTAGCAATTTTAGCAGACTAGAGAGCACTTCAGTTCTTGTATAACAGAAACCAAGCAGAGCATCAGAAGGGCACAAGCCTATTGTTTAAAGGGGACCCAGGGCAGGGCCACACAGAAGAGTGTGGCTTCTTCAGAGCCCTACAGGGTCGACAGGTGTCCCTGACGGTCCCTTCTACATGTATTCATGTGTCTCTGTGTCATGGTCTCTATGTGTTTGAAATGCAATTTTATTTATTTTTTTTAGTTTAATAATATCTCTTATTTTCTTAATGAAAAGAGTAAAGTCTTTTTTTATATCTTCCTTTTTTCAAACTCCCACCCCCTCATTCCATTCACCCATCAAACTCAAAATGAGGTTACTTTATTTAAACATGACTTTATTTAAACTCCCACCCCCTCATTCCATTCACCCATCAAACTTAAAATGAAGTTACTTTATTTAAACATCACCCTCGGATGAATTATTTTAATGAGTCCGTGATTCATAATTAAAGACATTCCTCACCCCTGGTCTGATCCTTCCTCTGGTCCCTCTGGTTTCATCCCAGAACGACGTATGGCATCTCTGCTCTTGTCAGTTTCATACCATCTACTAAAAGTTGCTACAGGCTACTGCCGATCTTATCTTCCATTTCAGCTCTTTCGGCTTCATGGACCCTGTAGATCTCAGAGCTCTGCACAGAGTTTTGTTCAAAGAGAAGCCAGTGCCTTTACAACTCTGCACCAGCTGCCCGTCTGGGTCCACTTTTATGTCCAAGTGTTCCTCTGGGTGTCGTTCCCCGGGCCCACCACCCCACCCCACCTGCAAACATTTCTTTATTATACATCCCGGTGTCAGACTCCGGGTTAGGCTGCAGTTACCCAGGGCCTGGCCTCTCCACGATTTTGTGGTCATACCACTCATCCTAGCCCTTCTTGTGCATGGCTGCTCGGGCCACCTGCTCTAAGAAGCCCAGCACCTATGAGGCCACTAGTTTTACAAACCTTCCTAATTACTCATTTGACACACTGCCACCCTTCTGGCCTTCCCTCACTCCAGTACTGGGCCACTAATTATTACCAAAATCTGTTTCCCTAGGATGCTATGGTAGAATTAAAATAAATTCTATAATATGCCTAACAGATTTTTCTTTCCATTCATTTCCAACAACCCACTGGACAAGCTAATGAAATGGAAAGAAATCCTTAAAGGCATTTACAGTGTGCAGAGCAGGACTGTGGGGCCTCTGGCCCAAAAGCATGTATCTATCACAAAGGGAAACCACTCTTCTGCTGTCAGATGCGTGTTGTTTCTCCGTGTGCACAAATGCACATGCCACGTGTGTGACATTGATGATGATTGTTAGATGACTTCCTTTGGGGGCTGCCCATTTCCCGTGTTCTAGGTTGGCTTCATGGACGGACATTCCTGGGACTCATATTGTGTGTCACCCACCCTCTAGCCTTACCCCTCCCATAACTCTGTTGTGTATTTTCACTGCTAAAATGTATGAGATACCTCACTTTGGTTGTACTGCATGCCATGGAAGGCTCACGAGCACGTACTCAGTGTATCAGGAACGAGTTATAGTAGAAGGAAGACTAGACTATAAGTCTGGTGGACCCGGGTTCTGGCCCCAACCCTGCCACTTGGTAAACTTTGTGACCTTGAGCAAGTCACACGGCATCCCTAGGGCTTCATTTTTCTCACCTGTAAATTAGGGAGTGGACCTCAGGGAAGGCAGAGGTTCCCTATTGAGTACCAGCTCTGTTCCATTCTAGCAACTTCCCTAAAAAAAGAGTCGAAATGGGTTTTGAGGCT